TATATATATATATATGAAATCATATATTTTTTTCAAGATCGTATTCAAGGACCAAACTCTTCTACCTTTATCATGGCTACAAAGGGCATCACTCTCTTCATGTATTTCTTCAGCTCTGGCATGGCACCCAGCTCCATGGCAATGACCTTATTGTCAGGTAGAGCTCCATTGTTGCTCTGGAAATGACAACGGGAAAGAATAGCATTTTGATTGACAGCCAATCAAAACGTAACTCTCCAAATTCAACAATGGCATTCAGAGAGCCAGAGAAGTGTATCGATCGCTGCTTATCCCTGTACAGCATCATAATTACATATACCTAATTTTCACCTTTAATTGTTTGAGTGAACAACATCTCTAAACATTATGGATAGTGGCCTCTCATCCAATAATCACTTTGTGTTTTGTTATTTTTGAATTTCTGTTTATTTAATTCAGTTACTCTTTATACCCTGTTTTAATATGGGTTTCTATGGAGACCTGAACAGGACAGAGTAAGCAGGCAATTCCTTAGTGGATACCCGTCCTTCAGCATAGAGGGGGTCTCACCTTCCCTAGCAGGGACCAGGTGTGTTCACACAGGTGGGGGCAGATGGGAGCCAGCAGGAGTGTTTGGTTCTCGATAAACTGGAACACAAGATCCCTGTGCATGCCCTCGATAGCCAGCTCCCTGTATTTATCCTTGGCGGCCTTCAAAGAGTCAAGAATTTGTTTATTATACATAACCTCACTGCCGAAAAATTCCTGACAAATATCATGGAATGACCCATGAAGTCTCTTGAAGTGATGTGAGGTATGTTATTGTTCTTATTAATTAATATTACTAATGTAGATATACTTGCTCCATATGACTCCACCCCATGCTTATTTAACTGTGTATGTGTTACCTGGACTTCAAAGAAGCCGGTCTTCAAAGCCTCCTTGTACATCATCCTCTCATAGTGCTGCTCTGTTTTAATGATGCTGGAATCCATTTCACTGCAGACAGACACAGATAATCAGGTGGAAATAAATAAATACAATTAAAATAATATAAAAAACATTTTACAGATTCAAAAAAAGAAATTGTGCCTTAATTTTGCAGTCAAATAATTCTAAACAGTTAGGAAGGACGGACGGGCGGACTATTCTATATTTAAAAATGTTTTTAAAAGAAGCTCACCAAGGCTTCATTTATTTGATTAAAAATAAAACAGTGTTTTTGTTTTTAAGAGCGGTTTTCTTTTTTCATTATATTTTAAAATGTAATTTATTCCTGTGATGGAATAACAGTTGCGTTATAGAAACCATAATACAAGTTTTCCGGATTCTTTGATAAATGGAAAGTTCAAAAGAACAGCATTTATTTGGAACATAAATCTTTTGTAAAATGATAATGTCACGGTCAAGGTGTGTGGAGGCAGGCAGGATGACGAGGACGAGAGGGATTCAAAGAGAGCCAGAGAAGTGTATCGATCGCTGCTTATCCCTGTACAGCATCATAATTACATATACCTAATTTTCACCTTTAATTGTTTGAGTGAACAACATCTCTAAACATTATGGATAGTGGCCTCTCATCCAATAATCACTTTGTGTTTTGTTATTTTTGAATTTCTGTTTATTTAATTCAGTTACTCTTTATACCCTGTTTTAATATGGGTTTCTATGGAGACCTGAACAGGACAGCAAACAAATGGAAGTTAGAATCCATCATGCCAGCGCTCACCGGTTACTCGATGAAATAAACATGAAAGAAACATTACAACCTACTGAAATGTATCATGTCAATCATGGAAAGATGTTAATAAAACAGCTGGTATGTAATGTCATATAAAATTATATTTAGCTCAGAAAAGCCATTCAATGTTCATAAACTCGTTAGTCAGATTTGCTAAATAAACTCACTGTATATTCATTACATTCTTATAAAGCCATTAGTCATTTCTGAGGTGCGAGATCTCTGTCTAATGGTTTAATGTTACAAGTGTTATTATCATTTCAAGTAGAAACTCAGTGGGTAGCAACCATAAAGTAACCTAACTGAAAATCTTCATAATCAAACTTTAATGTTGAGGTAGCAAGGTGAACATCACATTTAACACTAGTTGCTATGCAACCAGGCATCCAATCCAAGAATACAGCCACTGGCCCTTCCTAAGTGCAAAGTTTGGTGATTTTTCACTATAGAGATAAAACTGTTAAGATTGTATATTATTATGATAAATATTATAAATATAGCTGCAAGCAGCAATTACAGGACCAAGTCCAGCAGTGGCAGAAATGCTGCGACTTGCGCACTATTAAAAGAGTCACCAGAAATATGATTTCAGGATAAACGATTCAACAGAAATGGGATGACTTCTCCAATTTTGGCCACTAGGAGGTGCAGTTCCTAAAGTTCTGAGGGACCCTAAAGGCTGCTACAGACCATGCCGACAGCCAGACCTTCACTTTTTTGTGTATGTGCTGTACAGGTCTGGTATAAAGAAAATTTTTGGTCAGGCAGCCGACATGTCTGCCCAATAGGGAAAATTTTTGCTCAGCAAAAAAAATACAAAATTAGAGGGAACATTGTCCATACCTTGCCCTTGGCTGGCTGTGTGTAAGCTTTCAGGCGAAGGCGGAGGTCATGAGCAGTGTCCATCAGATACTGTGAGGAGCGAATCAAGATCTCATCCACTGGACCGGCTGTAGGCCAGCGAGCCTTCATTATAGAACTGCTCTGTATGGAGAGAAAATAAAGAGAGTGGTAACTGTGCAGCTTAGTTATTCGATTCATTTCTACTGAAATTCAAAAACAAATAAGGGACAATGTATAGTCAGCCGGTAGTTATCAGCTGTTTAAAGCAATATAGTCTTAAAGCATTAAAATAAAAATTTTAAAATTGGATGGACAAAATATAATAGCAACGCCAGAATGGATATAGCACAATCAAGGTAATTAACTAATAATGAGGACAGGAGCAACCAAATAAGGACACAGGGGCGTTACAGATAAATGTCTTTACTGTAACTTTTAAATAATTTGTCATTCTGAATAAAAGTATTAATTTCTTTTCAGAAATAATACTAATAATCGATTACTTCAACAGTACACTTCTATTATTGTTATAACACCACAATATAATATACAGGTACATCTCAAAAAATTAGAATATCATGAAAAAGGTCAATATTTTTTGTCACTCATTTCAGAAAGTGAAACCCATATATTATATAAATTCATTACACACAGAGTGAAATATTTCAAGCCTTTATTTCTTGAAATTTTGATGATTATGGCTAAGCCATAATCATCAAAATTTCAAGAAATAAAGGCTTGAAATATTTCACTCTATGTGTAATGAATCTATATAATATATGGGTTTCACTTTCTGAAATGAGTGAAAAAAAATATTGACCTTTTTCCATGATATTATAATTTTTTGAGATGTACCTGTATTCACTACATTACTGCATGGAAACAAGTGAATTTTAAGTGAACGCCTTTTTTGTTTCACACTCCGTGTGAACAGACCTTCTGTTCTGCGCTTTGTGTTACCCAATAAATACTCTGTCATTAAATGTGTCCGCAGGTCCGGTCCTCAGGTTGTTCTGATTGGCGATCATCTCTTTCATCCATTCCACCCATGTAAAGAGACGCAATATTCCCGCATCTGCCATGGCCTCAACAAAGTTAGCATCCTCCACCGTGTCCCCTGCATCAGCCAGAGCCAAACGCATACCTACAATACAGACAGACAGAGACAGGTTAGCATGGGTTTAATGAGGTTTATGGCATTCACATTCATAAATCTCCTTGACAGGTCACATAAAAAAAACATATATCCTCTTTTAGAGGATCAGAAAGTTAGACTTTACATGCATAAGGATTCATCCTATTCCTACTGCAGTAACAGTCTAACAGTAACTTACCATCTGCTGAAAACTTGGCAATGGCTTGACTCAAAGTGAGAAAGTTGCCAGTGGACTTGGACATCTGGTGGGTATAAACACCTAATTAGACAACTGAAGAGGACCATCCACAACATGTGTGTTCATAAATACAGAGGAAGAAACTAAAACTATTTTGTTAATTGAAATACAACTGAAAAAAATTGAATACATAAAAAAACAAACAAAAAAAACTTGACATTAAGAAATGTTGCCTTGGCAACTAACTGACTAAAGTACTAAAATGACTAAAACTGAAATAAAAATCAGTTAAAGCCAAAAAGAAATATTTGAAACAACAACAACAAAAGCACATAACTAACCTAAAACTTAAATTAAAAATGAAAATATAAAATGAAATTAAATCAAAATGGTAATAAATAATATAATAGTAGGGTTTTTGTTAAGAGATTTATACATAAAGAAATTCTCAGAAATGTGGCCCTCACAATTACACTGAAGTACATTTTATTCTACTGTAGCTAAGTTTAGAAACTGAATACATAAAAAAACAAACAAAAAAAAACTTGACATTAAGAAATGTTGCCTTGGCAACTAACTGACTAAAGTACTAAAATGACTAAAACTGAAATAAAAATCAGTTAAAGCCAAAAAGAAATATTTGAAACAACAACAACAAAAGCACATAACATTACTAAAACTTAAATTAAAAATGAAAATATAAAATGAAATTAAATCAAAATGGTAATAAATAATATAATAGTAGGGTTTTTGTTAAGAGATTTATACATAAAGAAATTCTCAGAAATGTGGCCCTCACAATTACACTGAAGTACATTTTATTCTACTGTAGCTAAGTTTAGAGCAAACTCGGTGTATGTTTTTCCTGACAAGAACAACAGAAGAGGAATATTAACTCACCTTTTCAGAGTTTAGCAAAAGATGACCGTTGGCACGTACTGCTTTTGGCCATTTGCCACTATCATGAAAAAGACAACAAACAAAAAAAAAAACATACAATTTGCAAAAAGTGTGAAAATGTGTAGCAATGAGGGTGTGACAAATTGAAATTAAACAGCTACATTACTACTTTTGTAATGTAATCTGCATTTTTTTTCTACACAAGTAAACTGCAGTGTACCTGTCATTGGGCCTCATGGCTACATGATTGTAGAGGTAATAGGAGAGGTGGTTTGGCACCAGGTCTTTCCCTGATACTCTCACGTCTACAGGGTACCAGAACTCAAACTCCCTCCTGAGCTTCTGCAGCTTGTCCTTTGGGATGTCTGTCTTTGGGAAAGGTGCTGTTTTGAAGAAGACGTAATCCCACACCTCCCTCGTCATTTGCTCTGGTCTAAAGGGAGGAAATGTGTTTTTCTGTATCACTTTTGCTATTTTTACTCAAGCGGCAATGAACGTGCGTGGCAGTATCTTCAGATGGTCAGGAACAACATTTGCCATGTCATTTTTGAGAGTTTGACAAATGTGACCCTGGAGCACAAAACCAGTCATAAGGGTCAATTTTTTGAAATTGAGATTTATACATCATCTGAAAGCTGAATAAATAAGCTTTCCATTGATGTAAGGTGTGGTCCAGGGTCACAAATGTTATATTAAAGTTTACCTTTTCAGTAAATTCTTACAAAATTTCTTTTTTTACTCAATGGAATAGTATATTGTCCATTATATTTTTGCTGGCTTCATCATCTGAACACTGTGGGGCTGTTAAATGCAAGCAGATTTTAGGGTACATTTTACTTTTTTTACGTTGTCTCTGTTCTCAAAATTAAGCTAAGTTGCTATATAAAGTTCATATGTAAAATTGACTTTAATCATTTGACTACCTGCCCCATGCTAGTGAGAAAATGTCAAAGAATTAAGCTGAATAACTGGAAAATGGGAATTATTTACATGTAATATTAAGAAGGACTCCAAACGATCAATTCAAAATCTTTTACATTTACATTCTTATGTTTTTCCAACAACCACCTTTCCTCATTCTCCTGTTTAACTGATGTTCAGCCTACAAAACCTTGCATTAGTAAATCTGGTGCATAGAATTGTCTTGTTTATTCTATCATTTATATGACTTTGCATTTTTTAACTGTCTAGCCTTTTCTGGAAAAGCAAAAAATACCTGATTCCCAGTGGCGAGGGGCCTTGTCCGTTGAGGACCCCTCTCTGGAGGAGATGTGCCACGGTGTAGTAAGCCATATAGATGGTGGAGTCCGACAGGGACTCAATGAGCCATTGTTCATCCCATGGCAACCGGGTTCCTATGGGAACCAAACACATAAAAGAACTCCAAAATCAAAGGTTCTCTCTAAGGAATAGAAAGAAAATTGCTGATGGTATCGCTGAGTGGTTTGGGGGCAAGGGAGGAGCGAGGAATAAGAGTATTACAAAAGAAATATGGAAGGGACTTGTCCTTACAAAAACACTTTAAGATAAGCTTCACACAAAAGTGGCCATCTGAGTTGATTTCAAAAGGATGTGTGCAAAGAAAACTTTGTGCAGTTCACCTAACTATTACATGAAATTTATATATAAAAAAAAAAAAAAATCCAACAGGATGCAGGAAAACTTGCAACAAAGCTTGTTAACTACACACAGACGCACAGATAAGCCCGTCTTACCTAACCCATAGGTTCTGGAACAGGCATGCTCCTGAAGCCAAGCCAATGTTGCTTCAAAGTTCTTCCTGGTTTCATCACAGAACCTGAAGAGCAAAGCATACAGTCAATATTCACACATTCATACATCTTCTCCAGCAATAACGGTGCCACACAGCAACTTGACAATTTACACTGTAATCTCCCGATGCCACAAAGTGTGAGACTTACGTCTCCAGAGCCTCCAGGACACCCGTGGCTTGCTTTTTCCATTCCTCATTGCCATAATCCAGATACCTGACAGATAAAGAGCCCAGTCACTGTCAAATCGGTCAGGGACGCCCACAACAAAAAAGGACTAAAAAGGACTAAAGGATAGGGCACGATTTGATTGAACAGGAAGTGAATACACTACCAGACAATAGTGGATGTTATCATGCGTTCTGAGACAAAATAGTGCGTAGCAGCTGTACGAGAGTGTTTTCTGCACTGACCATTGATCACACAATGCCACAACACACTCGTCTGCAGAGTGAGATAACACCTGCTTCTCTGGCTCCATGTAGATCAGCGCCTCACCCTAACAAAATGAACAAAATGGGGTTAGACGTTTTGTTCCATACTTTATTTTAAAAAATTGTTTCCCAACTCAGCATTTAATGTTCAGTCATTAACCCTATAAAGCCTACTGTATCATATACAGTGGCATGCGAAAGTTTGGGAACCCCTTGCAGAATCTGTGAAAATGTGAATAATTTTAACAAAATAAGAGAGATCATGCAAAATGCCTGTTATTTTTTATTTAGTACTGTCCTGAGTAAGATATTTTACATAAAAGATGTTTACATATAGTCCACAAGACAAAAAAATAGCTGAAATTATATTCACATTTTCACAGATTCTGCAAGGGGTTCCCAAACTTTCGCATGCCACTGTATATGATACACAAACTTAAACAAAGTTTAATACTGATATTGTTATAAATAAATCAATATTAGTTGATCTCTAGTGATATTTATGTGCATTTTTTTAAATTCAAATGCTGTTATAAAGAAAGTGATTTACATTACAAGCTATCCGAATTTCATTTCTTTTTTGGCCATATACACATCAACAACTGCACCAAATTGCATATTTTTGCTCAATTTGGACTTCTGCATGATACAGTTTGTTTTTTTCCTCCTTCAGTATGAGTTCTATAATGTCCTATATATCATACTGTAAGGGCCAAAAAAAAAGTGCAAAATATGTTTTTTTTTGATTGTTTATTCTTTGTCTAAACTTGTCCACCAACCTTCTCCAACATCCTCTTCTGAATGGGCTTCTTAACATCCTGGACCTTCTGTCCCTTTAAACCCTCCACTAACATGATCTGGCAAAACAAAGTTCAGGAAAGTTGTTCAGATGTTCACATGTAGGAATAAGTTGTCATTTAGCAGATATCTAAAGCAAACACAAGTACTCCAACCAGCAACCTCAGCATCTAAAACAAGCATATTTCAGAAAGTGCCCCTACATGCATTCATCTACGGAACTATATTAGGGAAGAAAATGATGCTGGTGTTCAGATGGTCTCACCCCCTCATAAAAGCCCTTGAGGTAGACCTTCTCTTTGGCCTCAGCCAGTTTCTCTCTGTCATTCTGGCTTTGGATCTTTAGTTCATCACAAACCAGAGGAGCCGACAGATTCCCATATCCTGGAATCTCAATGATGGGTACCTGGTAGAACAGAAAGCCATAAGCCACTCGAAACACACAGAATCTAGGATGTTTTGAAAAATACCTTACTCCATGAAGTAATCGGACAGGCACAGCAAGGCAAACTGCATTTTTTATAAAGTTGCCAATAGCTTATAGATAGCCAATAGACTTGATAGCTATGAAGACAAATTAATTATAGCCACTTTCTTGGAACAGCGTGGTAACCGGTGTTTTACAATCTATTCTAGACAGCAACAAAAACATGAATAATTCTAATAGCATGCGATTCAAAATGAACTCTAACGTAATGCCTTTACTGATTTATTTGTTACTTTCCCAACCATGTATAATTTATGAACAAGTCACTTTTAAAAACTAATTAAATAATGAATGAATGATTACATTTATACAAAAGTGGACTCCCTTGGGATTTATGTTCTCCAATTGAAAACGTTAGATTTTGCCTACTGTTAATATTAATGCTGCTGTTGTAAAAGCATACCACGTTTTTATTTATTAGTCAGAAAAATCACATTACATTTACAATTACATTTTTTTTCTCTGAATTGTGCAGGCCTATTCAACAGTAAGGAAGTACATTTAACTATGTTTAAATTTAAAACTTTATATGAATAGTAATTTTTAAGAATATTTTGTACATATACTGTTAATATTTATTTTAACATAACATTTAAGTTCTATTTATTCTTAAATGCAGCCCTGGACTTCTCTCAAACCTCCACTGGGAGCATTGGATGGGGTCTTTAAAAATGCTTCTTACCGGCTCAAATGGTAGAACCATATAATCTTGAATTCCATACTTCTCTCTCAAAGCCTAAAAAAAATAAATAAATAATAATAATGTTCAGGCATTTTTGTATTCGATATAATCATGTTATCTGAAATACAGTAATCTCTTTGGGAATTTCCCTTGCTGAAGGAAATCAAACAAAATTGTATCAAGAAAAGAAAATGAAATGATAAAATAAAAATAAAACGAATACAACACCGGTTTCTTTTTAATGTCCCTCAGAGCTGCGATATCATCAGGTGCATCTGACGGAACACTGGTGACAACTCCAGTTCCTGTGATGACAATTAGATTTCAACAAACTCCTATAATAAGGCAACTTACTTTAAATGCTCCATCTCACATTTTTTCCAAAAGTAACAGTCAAACAACAAGTGATCGATATTAACACTTCTGACATATCAATTTGGGGACGGCCCTTTCAGGGTGAAAACAGGGGCCCAGGATATAAGAAAAAGAACAACTGATGCATCACATTAGGTTGTTATATGGCGGTGCAGCCTGCGAGAACATCCATTACGGTCATCTCCATATTCCATTTCTCCTAGCTTCACTGTGCTCCGCAATGCCTAACGCCGCTTTCACTTTGGCTATTAAAAACATGCGGCATTGACCTGCGGCCCGTTGAGAGATGCATCTTGTCTGTGCAGGGGTAATGTGATGTGACGATATTATGGGCTGGTGTCAGGTACCTTTGTCTTCTTTAATGGTGAGCATTGGCAGGGCATAAATGGTCTTGTATGAGGTGAGGGGGGCGCTCAATGCGCAGCCGAGGATGTCCTGAAAAAATGGGAGAGGGAGTGAGTCTGTAAAAGAGCAGTACGTGTGCCATATTATTTAACTGAAAATTGATACTTGTCATAAATTTGGTTAGGGCTGCACAATTAATCTAATTTCTAATCGCGATTACAATTATGGATGCCACAATTACGTAATCGTTCAAAGCGGCAATTAATCGTCCAAAGTCCACTTATGTTATTCTGTGTGCTTAAGATGCTTTTTCTTTCTACATGTTATCTTAAGGGTTTTTCCATTGTTTTAATTTTAGTATAACACTATAATACCATTTATATTTTAACTTTTTTTATAATTTAAAGAAGAAACCCATCCGATGTATAGTTGACATTTGAGGCTTAATACTATAGAGCAGTGTTTCCCAACCTTTTTTTAGTTGCGGCACCCTTTGGAAATTTTAACAAACTTGTGGCACCCTACAAAATTAATTTTGTCACAATATTTGAATTTCGATATGATAATTTGAAAAGTATAGATATTCGGCACAACAGGGAAGAACTGCAGAATATAATGCCATACAGATATTTTTAATATTATTCCCTGGTTGGGAAACACTGCTATAGAAAAGCACTACAGGTTTTTCAGTTAGAGTGTTTTCAGCTTGTTTATTTTCATATAAAAATGCGGCATGCAGTTGCATCAAACAATGGTATAAACATCATTCAATGTAAATTGTGATCATCGTAATTAATAATCGCAATTACAATTAAGGCAATAATCGACAATTATGATTTTTGTCATAATCGTGCAGCCCTAAATTTGGTACACCATGCACTGCATTTTCAATAGATTAAAATAATTGTGATCACATTTTTTTTGTAGTTAATGCATTTGGTTTCTTCTTTTTCTTTCTTAAAAAAAATAAAAATAAAAAAAGTTAAAATTACTGTTATTGTTATTTTATAAAATAATCAGAATAATACAAATACAATATAATGATAATGTATAGTATGAAACAAATCACATTATCATTGAGTGAATGCTATAAAAATGTTACCCCCCCCACAAAAAAATTCACCCCAAAAATAAATAAATAATTTTATTTTAAAATAAATCAAATATTGACTATTTTTAGGGCTAAGATTTTGCACATTGTGACATTATTTTAAAGACATTTAGGCACATTATGACACTAATTAAAAAAATTACTACTTTTATTATCAATAATAATAATAAGAACAACAACAACAATAATAATAATAGTACAACAAATACTACCATGATGTAAATATAACTCAATTTAAATAACACATCATTATTCTTACATAATTATCATTCCTAGTTTCATTGGATTTTGGATGCCATTTCATCCTCCATTTCCTTCACTGCCCGAGTAATTGCTTTCCCACACTGCCTTGTTAAATCATTCTGTCAAAATGGGCCTACTATTTATTTATTTATTTTTTATTTTTTTAAAGCACAAAACACAAGCAGAGTGTGTTTTAGAGACACAAACCTGGCCCATGATGTTCATGATCACAGGAACCACTCCATTCTCTCTGGTAAAGCCCTGGTAGGACATGTTCCTGGCTGACCGCTGCGTGCTGATGAACAGCTCACCGCTGGCCGTCTCAAATATAATGTACTTCATATCTGGCCGAATCCAGCAATTCGTCTGACCAAACATGGTTTCAGGCCTCAGAGTCGCAGCCACCAGAAAAATCTTCTTGCCTTTAAGGCCACTGAAAACATTTAGAAAATGAAAAAATAAATGTCTTTAAACAGAGTACCATGTTTTTAGTCTGACGGTCATAGCATGAAATTCTTTAGAGTACCATGATACATGAATATGACAATCATTCAGTATCATATTATTATGGATTGCACCTCAATTTTGCTGGGTAAGGTTCCACAATCTTCATCTTAATCAGGGTATACTCTTGAGGACCAACTCCCTGCGATACAGAACATTAGAGATACACACATCCATCCTATTTTATAGAAAAAAGGGATTTCTTAATTAAAAATAGTGCCCACCTCTCCTGTCTGTCTGTCATGGTCCATGCAGGGCTGACCATCTTTGGGAGAGTAAATGGTATACCTGTAAGAGCAAGAAAGAAAGATTTAATTCCAAAATGAAACATTTTAGAATTTAAAAATAAATCAATAACAAAATAAACATTTAAATTCAAAACGATTATTTTATGAATATGATTAGTTACGTAAGTCTGAGAAATGTAAACTAAAAAAAAAAAATGGTCTGAGAAATGGTCTTCCTAAAAATACTAATTTATTCAGTAATGACAAGTTGACTGTAATTTTGCCACCAATAACCAAGGTGGAAAATCAAGATAAATCATGAATAAATTGACCAATAGTTTTAAAATAGTACCGGTAATATGAATGAAAGCTTTCAACTTTAATACAAGTAAGAAAATTATTAAAACAAATTAAATAAAAAAATAGCAATGCTTCATCACACATTGACGAATTGTAGGTGGGGGGAGTGAATAACCAGCGTTCTCTCCACCTTCAATACCACGACTGAGGTGAGACCCTTGAGCAAGCACTGAACCCCCAACTGCTCCCTGGGCACCGCAGCACAAGGCTGCCCACTGCTCCGGGTGTGTGTTCACGGTGTGTGTTCACTGCTGTGTGTGTGCACTTGGATGGGTTAAATGCAGAGCACAAATTGGCCACACATCACTTCACTATTTTTATTTTTGTCACATGTAATATATCGATGTACAAGAAAGGAGACAGATATCACTTCCTGTCTTTTTAAGAATAATTTTCAAGAGGCACTGTATGTAACATATCTTCATGTGTCCTTATATGAAGAGTTCATTTGCAAAAACCGATAAACGCTACTTTAAAAAAAATTGACCTGATTGCCGTGCATTATTCTCCACATATAGCGTGATCTGAACCCTAAACACGTTTTGTCAAAAAAGCCGGTTTTGTCCACTTTCAAGGCATCGCGAGTTCATGTTTTACTGCAGAAGCCGACAAGCGCCCTTGTTGTTTTTGAACAGAAGCCGATAAGTCCATTTTAGAAACCTTTGTCAGGCATCTACATGGAGATTACAAAGATTAAACGAGTATTTTTTTAACTCTAAAACATGAAATGTGGCGTTGTCTGCTTTTGCCAAAAAATGACTGTTGGAGTTATCTGCTTTTGCTGTAAAACAAACGTTTAATATGTAAAAAAAAATAAAAATAAAATACTTTCAATGAACTTTAATTTTGTAAATTACCTGTATTTGTTTAAGTTATTATTACTTAATCAAAACAACCCAACTGCAGTTTGATTGATATTACTTGGAATGCGCAATAAAAAAAACGTGATTTCTGAAAAAAATAAAAAAGTGGAGTTATCGGTTTTTGCAAATGAACTCTTCATATACAACATGCTTGTATTTTAGGTTAGTATACAGTATATTTTATCTGTCTATTTAGTTTATTTTGCACAACAACTCTATTAATTGTATTTTTTAAGGACAAAGAGGGGTTTGAAAGGTTAAGGCTGTTCTACACACATGCGTTTGTGCATTAAACTGGCCAACTAACAGAGAATGTTCACCTAACATTAGTAGAGCCCGACCGATATATCGTTTTGCCGATATTATCGGTCAATATGAGCCTGTCGCCGATATATATATATAATTTATATTGTATTTATTTACAGAGGTATATTATGTCACACTTCTCTAGTAAGTTTCGTCTGTGTGTGAAGACAGTAGCGCAAATCCGTGAATGAATGTTCTGAAGTGAAATAAACTTCAAAGGAATAAAGCTGAATGGAATTTAATTGAATTGAATTAAAGTTGAATAAACTTCAACTTTACTGTTCAGTGCACTGATGTCAGACTCATTTTGGATAATAAAGTTTATTGTTAAATTGTTAAATGCCCTGCCTCCATTACGTATCTTTGTCACGTCATTATAAGTGTTTGATCACCACATTTGAGTGATCATTGCAAAAAATTAGTTTATGTATATATATTCTGTTTATGTATATACTGTATTCTATATACAGTACCAGTCAAATGTTTGGACCCTCGAATGGGAAAGTGTCCAAACTTTTGACTGGTACTGTACTATAATATACACAAAGAATATCGGCCAATATATCGATATCGATATGATTTTTTACTCCCTTATATCGGTATCGGCCCCGAAAAACCCATATCGGTTGAGCTCTAAACATTAATACTTGTTTCCCATTTGGTTATTTTTTTGGGAACCAAACAATACTGTTCTAGGAACATTCTTTTTTTTATTTTACAAACATAAAATAGCTTAAAATCCCATAATGTTGGAGAAAGGGTTTCTTAAGACAACCTAAAAAAATTACTTTTACAGAATGTTTCATAATAAGTACTTTAAGGTTTTACTTTTGCAATAGCTTACATAGAAAGGTTATTTTAGGTGTCATTTTTTATTATAATGTGTACTGTGTACGAACTTTGCTTTTCTCTGCCGAGGTTTTACATTTCTGCAAAGATTAGTAAACTTCAGTGTCGTAATCACGGTTTATTTCAATTTTGTTACCATACCTTTTCCCGAACTTGATCTTCTTTCTCTCTTTCAGAGTTATGAACTGCCACCTCACGAAAGAGTCGTAGAAAGGGTTTACATCAGTCGTGATGAAGGAACGACGCCAGTCAGCCTACAATATGACTGAATATTGTGAAAATTTTTTTTGCTTTAAATGGCAAAATACAAAGCAATGGGCAGAATTACAAATATTCCGGTGAACTTTTACTACCTTTAAACCCATTTTCTTCAGGTCTTCTACAGCAAGAGGAGGGAAATATTCCAGCCAATGTTCAGCTTCAGCAAACTTCACAATTTCATCGTCCCGCAGCCCCAGACATTTCATGTCCCACTGGAACTTGGAGCTTCCAGACTTTGCTACAGCTTTGCTCTGCCAATGACTTCATATTCAAAAAAAGTCAACTTCACCAGCTTTAATTAATTAGATGTTAATACGACGTTCACAGCTCATGGATCAACTCTTGTGAGGATTCAAACCTACAACATTTAGGTTATAATTTCCCCATAGCACACATTTACCTTCTTGCCCTTTGCCTTGTCCATGATGATGACCTCATCAGTGATCTTCTTCTGCTCTTCCTCCTCATCGTCTTCCTCAGGGAATTGGGGCGGGTATCCATAAAGCTCCATTTCTCTCTTCCGCTTGTCTGCACATGCCTGTTACACACAGATGTAAAGCATTCATGTTGATTATAAATGTGTACAGATCTGAGGTGCAGACCTTTGGGAGTTTAATCTACTCACTTTGATGGGCATCCCAGTGCAGTGAAGTCCAAATGGGAAAAGACAATGCTTTCCTTTCAGCCGCTGGTAACCCACTGCAAACTACAGGGCATTGGAGATTATAATTGAATTCTAAATGCTATGGCATGTTGTCTTTGACATCTTCTTTAATTGGATTTCAGACTCACCTCACACTTCGACAGGCAGAACGTATGTCCAAGGTGAAGTCTCCCATTCATGTAAGGATAAGGAAACGTAACAAAGTACTTGTTCTTACTGGGCAAACAGACAATAATACATAATTAGTCATGAATATAATCTGTCCAACTTCAGAAAATATATAAAAACAGGCTCACTTTGTATTTTCCTCAGTAGTGGTTGGAGCATCAATCTCAAAAATCTTTTCCTGCTCCCATTTCTGTTGAACCTCCTCCTCGATCTTCCTCAAAAAGTCAAGTTTTGCTGTCCCTTTGCGTTCCTGGAACGACACACAACGTCAGATGAAAATGAGGATTTCACATACATAAACCTCTAAGTCCATCCGAGATTTTTTCTTTTACATTGGCATTTTTATCAGGCTCCTAAGTTTATGTTAAGCAATTTCAATTCAATGGCAATAAAAAGATTATTAGTAAGTTATCGAATGCCTTATTTTCAAAAATGTACAATGTCATTTCATAGGTGCCTGATAAAAACGCTAATTTCAAAGAAAAATATCAGATGAACAGAGGTTTTTGCATATTCAAATATTAAGATCAGTTGTGATCAGTTCATTAAACTTGCGTATGAAAAATATTTAAATACAAAAATAAATGTATATATATATATATATATATATATATATATATATATATACACACATGTATGAAGAGTTCAGATGCAAAAGCCTCTAAGTGCCATCTGAAATTTTCATCTAAAATGAATACTTTCCGTACCCACTGTATATATATATATATATTTTTTTTTTTAGTCATATACATATATACAGTTGCGGTCAAAATTTTACATACAATTTGCAGATGTTAATTATTTTACCAAAATAAGAGGGATCATACAAAATTCATGTTATTTTTTTATTTAGTGCTGACCTGAATAAGATATTTCACATATCTTGTTTAAATATAGTCCACAAGAGAAATTAATAGTTGAATTTATAAAAATGACCCCGTTCAAAAGATTACATATGCTCGATTCTTAATACGGTGTTGTTACCTGGATGATCCACAGCTGTTTTTTGTTTTGTTTTTTGTGATAGTCGTTCATGAGTCCCTTGTTTGTCTCGAACAGTTAAACTGCACGTTGTTCTTCAATCATTCAAGTCCCACAAATTCTTTGGCAAGTTTCTTATGAGTCTCTCAGTGTGAAAAGATGGATCTCAAAATCATTACAGTCATTGTTGGAAAGGGTTCAAATACGCAAAAGATGCTGGAAAACCAAAAACATTGTGGGACCTGAAGGATTTTTCTGAAGAACAGCAGGCAATTTTAATGTTCGAGACAAACAAGGGACTCATGAACGACTATCACAAAAAAAAGAAAAAAAAAGAAAAAAGACATTACCTCAGCTAGCTATTTAAATTAGAGAACTAAATTAGAGCAAAAGACAAGAAATAATGAAGAATATGGTTAGTTGCTTTATTAGCCTATATTTTTATCTAAATTAGACTGTATAATTTCAAAACCTGAAGCAAAAACAGAATGGCCTGACTTTAGCTTTGTGAAATTAGGCTACATAAAACATACCAAACAGCAGATGGGCTGAATGAAAATGCAAATTCACTCTCTGTCAGCAGGTGGCGCTTAAGGAACAGCAGTGATGCATTGT